TAAACGATATTTCCAAAAATAACCCGAACCATAATCCCATTTATATAATGGAAATGTTTCTGGATCCCAATACATTAAACCGATGAATAATAAACGTGCAAGCCAAAAAAAATACAAAATATTTTCCAGATTATGTAACAAACGAAATTGACGGCTACCATATTCTTCGATGACATGTTTCATAGCACTATACAATAATGTTTTGATTTTGAATAACATTTTTTTTTGTTTTTTTGTTTTTTTTCGGATTTGTTGTTGTTTTTTGCTGTCAAGTTCAACCGTTCAATGTGAAAAATTTTTAACAAATGAAATGAAATAATAGGAATTTTCTATTCGAATGATGGTATTTTTTCTTTCAAATATTTTTTTACTCACAAAAAAAATCGATTGTTATTCGATTTCGAAATAAAAATCGATTGTCAATTGAAATGATTGATCGAAAATCGATTGGAAATGGAGGAAAGGGATATGAGAATTGTGGAGATTTTTTTTTTGAAAAAAATATCATTTTCATGTCATGCGCATTTATATAATTTTTTATTTTTTTTTCTTTGTAATTTTTTTAAAAAAATTTAAAGAGAAGTAATGTGGAGGAAAAAAAGACGAAAATATTAGGAATTAGACAAAAAAAAACAAACATAAATTGAAATATTTTAACTAGTGTAACAGTGGATGTAATTGTTACTCATATTCAATTGTGGTTTACTCTGAAGCTCTTGATTGATTTTGTTCATTCATATAAACTTTTAATATTAGAAAGAATGCAACAAAATAACCAAGAAATGCTTCAAACAGGCCACGAAATGTAAGATTACCCAATGTACCGAATGTATGAACAATTTTTTTACCCCAAATTAATCGTTCATAAAGATCATCATATTTCAATTTCAAACGTAAATGTGTTGAACGTTTTAGCTGTAATTGCATTTGAAATGATTGATCGAAAATCGATTGGATATGAAGGAAAGGGATATTAGAATTAGAATTTTATTGATGTAGCCCTTATTCCATAAAAATATAGGGGAAAAATCAAAGGTTGAGGAAAGGGATATGAAAATTGTGGAGATTTTTTTTGAAAAAAATATCATTTTCATGTCATGCGCATTTATAAAATTTTGCAATTTTTTTTTAAATTTTTTTTTAATTAAAAGAGAAGTAATGTGGAGAAAAAATGACAAAAATATTAGGAATTTGACAAAAAACAAACAAACATAAATTGAAATATTTTAACTAATGTAACACTGGATGTAATTGTTACTCATATTTCATTGTAGTTTACTCTGAACCTCTTGATTGATTTTGTTCATTCATATAGAATCCAAGTATGAGAAAAAATGCAACAAAATATCCTAATAATGCTTCAAACAGGCCACGAAATGTTAAATCACCTAATGTACCAAATGTATGAACAATTTTTTTACCCCAAATCAAACGTTCATAAAGATCATCATATTTTAATTTCAAACGTAAATGTGTAAAACGATTTAATCGTAATTGTAATGATGGCAGATAATCATTGATTGCATGAAAATTTCTTGACATATTTGCTAACAATAGAAATGGAAATGAACCACTAACACCATGTAGAACAATAATTGCAATGAATAAAAATCTAGTTTCTGGTATAATATCTTCAACAATCAATTCACACATTAATGTAATATTGATCGGTATGCTGACTAATGCATAATAATATAATGCTTCACTCCATGTTGTTTTATCATTATATAAAACATAATATGATAATCGTATATGTTCTTCATAAATAAAACGTAATTGTTTTAAATCTTTTCCGGTAATTGATTGTCCAGTACGTGTTTTATTTAGAAATTTAACAAATTTTTCATTCATCTCAGCCAATTCATTATTATAGATTAAGGATGTTGCTATTATTGAACATGCTAATAATATTGCACATTGTATAATTGTTGTGATTGCATAAAATACTAATGTTGTTTCAATAATTAAACATAATCTTAATATTATTGAATTTTGTAATAATACAGTGGAAAACATTTGCGAAACAATTATAACTGCAGTAATACCAATTATAAATACTAAAATAAAATCCAAACAAAAAAACATTAATTTTGAATTATGAAAGGAAAAAAATTTCAACGAAAATTATAACAGGTAATAAAAGGTATACGGAAAAATACTTACGAAATGAAATATGTAAATAATAATTAAATTTATTACTTAAAAATATAAATAATAATACTTGATTACGTCCTTTGATTGGTGAATGTGGAAATAGCCGCATACGATTATGTTGTTCAAATAATTTTCTATCAATACGATCCATTTGTAACCATGAATCAAGCCAAACTTTTAATAAAACTAAACGATCTGCTAATGGATTTATCATTGATAAAAAATGATGATCGCGTTCAAATTGTTGACGATAATGATTTAGACGTCGAGATTTTTTGATCTGAATATTTTCTTCAGTATCTAAACTTTTCCAATATTGATCCATATTGAAAACAATACAATCATATAATACTTGAAAACTTAATTTATCAGGTGATTGATAGAAAAATGTTCGAATACCTATTGTACCGAGCATTACAAAAAATAAACAAATTATAATAAAAAATTTATTCATAATTTGACGATGTTGCCAAAAAAATCCAGCAACATAATCATATTGATAGAATGGATATTGTTCAGGATCCAAATACATTATTAAAAGCATAAACAAACGTAAAGAAAAATAAATAAATAATAATATATCAAAACCATGCAATAAACGATATCGACCACTATCATAATCATTAACAATATGTTTCATTGAATTATATAAAAAGGATTTTATTGTGAACAACATTGTTTCTTTGGTTTAAATGGTTCTGTTTGAAATGAAATCGAGAGGTAATATGAAACAAAACAGAAAAAAAATTCATTTTTGAAAACGTTTTCAAAATGTAATAATATTTATTGCTTATTGGAGGGGGGAAACATCATCATTATTTGTTCGAAATTGGAAAAAAAATTTCAGTAAAATTTGATGGGAATTGGGAATATTCATTTCTTTCATTATTCTGGCCATTATTATCGATCAATTTTTTTCAAATTTTAAATTTTTTGACAATTCCAATTTTCATAATGATTGATTGATTGATCTAAATTTCAAAGTTTTTTTTGTACGTTTTTCTTCTTATTGATTGGAACTTTCAACAAAAATCAATGATTATAAATAATTTATCATTATAATTTGTCAATAATAATAATTATAATGAACAGAATTTAACTTCAAACTTGTTGTTGTTGTTGATTATTGATTTGTTGTTCATTCATATAGTTTTTTAATATTAAAAAGAATGCAACAATATAGCCAAGAAATGCTTCAAACAAACCACGAAATGTAAGATTACCAAGGGTACCAAATGTATAGGAAATTTTTCGTCCAGTTATTAATCGTTCATAAAGATCATCATATTTTAGTTTTAAACGTAAATGTGTTGAACGTTTTAGCTGTAATTGCATTGCAGGTAAATAATCTTTGATTGAATGAAAATCACTTGACATATTTGCTGCTAATAAAAANTGAAAGAATATTTTTATAATGAATATGAAATCCAAACAAGAGTTCTTTCTAAATTTTTAAAGGAAACACCAAATCAAAAAGAATTTGATATTATTTCAACAAGAAACTTATTGGTCAAAGCAAGAAATGCTTACAAAATGTTGGTAAAAGCATCATCAAGCCAGTATGTAATTGAAACGTTAAAACTATACATAGTAAATAAAATGGCGTCTTCGGCTTTGCGATCGTTGGGATATGTGGACGGATTAACAATGGAAGAATTGTTTCAGTTTTTGGAAAAAGATTTAAAACTGGCGCAAAAACGAGTGCCAATGTATTACGATCCACCTGAAGTAACAACTGAAAAACGAAATGAATATGCTTCAAATGGAAGAAACATACATATTGGAGAAAATTATAATTATAATTATGATCAAAGAAATTATAATTATGATCAAAGAACAAGGAAGTTTTGTCATTTTTGTAACAACAGAACACACGATACAAAAGAATGTAAATCAAAATTATCATTGGAAGAAAAACGTAATATTATCATTGAAAAACGTTTATGCTGGAATTGTTTTGGTGTAGGACATCCAAGTAGATTTTGCAAGATTGAACAAATTTGTGGTTTATGCAATGGAAAACATAACAGGATGTTCTGTTTACTACAGAATCAACAATTTAATCAATTGAAAAACAATCGTATTGAACAACAACAAGTAAATGACTTTGTATCACAGAGAAAAATGATAACACCAGCAGTTTATTATGGACAATATAATAATCTTCCTATAGAATATAAAGAAGCAAAACAAGATAATAATAAAAAAGAAGAACAAACTGAAGAAAAAGAAATGCAAAATTTTATGATGAATTTACCAATCGAAGGAGAATCGGAAGAAAATTATACTGAAATAAATATTGGACAATCATGGAATAATATAATGGATAAAGAAGAAAATTTTCAGAATATTGAACACTGGCGCATCGATCAAAAACAAAACAAAACAAAACAAATGGCGGAAATCAAATTTTAGCGGGAGGATGTCATGGAGAAATTGAAATTGGTTGGAATTGAAATCGATCATAATCAAATGGGAAATTATGGACATCAAACAGAAAATTTAGTTAAATTATTGGAAGAATATTAAAAAGTGGTAACCGGAAAATTTTGTAGATTAGTAAATCAAACGATAAAAGAAAATCGTGGAAGAAGTTAATTCGCATAACCTGGAATATTCATAAATGGACATAAAATAAAAAAAAAACAAAACAAAACGAAATCAATGGCGGAAATCAATTATTAGCGGGAAGATGGAAAATTAAATTGGTTGGAATTGAAATCGATCATAAATGAATGGCGGAAATCAAACAGAAAATGTAGTCAAATTATTGGAAGAATATTAAAAAGTGGTAACCGGAAAATTTTGAAATTGGAAATTCCTGGCACAAAATTATCAATATCGTATTGTTAGTAATGGATTTGTTTGGTTTAACGATTGGAACGATCACTTAATCTGGATATATCGGAAAAACATAAGATTAGTAAATCAGGTGGTAAAAGTCGCGGAAGAAGTTAATTGCATAACCTGGAACATAAATAAATGAACATAACCTGAAAAACAAAACGAAATGAAACCGGCAAGGAAAACCAATGGCGGAAATCAATTTTAGCGGGGAGATGTGGTGGAAAAATTATTATTCATGGGAATTGGAAAATCAAAACAAAACTTATTGGAAGGAAATCGAATAACGAAAATAAACAAATCTTATTGATGAAGTTTGGACTATGGACAAAAATGGAATTGGAATTGATAACAAATTAATTTAGAAGATAAAAGACAGGATGCCGCGGAATCTGGATTAAAATAATATTAAACATTTATTTAGATTATGGCTAAATATGGAAATCGATAACGAAAATAAACAAATCAAGTTTATGAAATTGGACTATGTACAGGATGGAATTGGAATTGAATAAAATAATGAAGATAAAAGACAGGATGCCGCGGAATCTGGATTAAAATAATATTAAAAACATTTATTTAGATTATGGCTAAATATGGTAATGGCAGGAAAAGATAAAAGGTAAATTCGCCGAACGAGGTCAAAAGGAAATCATCGATGGCGATTTTTGGTAGACAAAACAAATGGATGGATGTTTGATCGGGCATATATAAACCCGATCAAACTTGGCAAACGTTGGTCGAATTTCAAGTTGAATATTGGTATTGGAAATTGGTTAATCTTTGGCGGAAAACCTCTGGAGTTCGACCCATTTGGAAATTAGTGGAATTGGTGGTATTTTANAATAAAATAAATGGAAATGAACCAGTTACAGCATGCATTACTGTTATTGCTATGAATAATAATTTTGTTTCTGGTATTAGATCTTCAACAATCAATTCACACATTAATGTAATATTGATTGGTATGCTGATTAATGCATAATAATATAATGCCTGACTCCATGTTGTTTTATCCGTATAAATAACAAAATATGATAATTTAGTATGTTCATTCAAATAAAATTTTAATTGTTTTGTATCCTTAACATTGATTTGATGATTATTATATTCAATATTTTCTAATAATTTTATCAATTTATGATTCATATAATTAAGATTACCATTAAATATTAGATATGATGATATTATTGAACATGATAATAATATTGCACATTGTATTAATGTTGCTACTACATAGAAAAGCATTATTATTTCCATCAGTATTGTAAACAATACAATCATACAGAACTTGAAAACTAAGCTTTTCAGGTGGAAGAAAGAAAAATGTACGAATACCTAACAAACCGATAAATGCAAATAATGCTAAAATTATAACGAAAAATCTATTTAAAATTTGTCTATATTGCCAAAAAAATGCCGATCCATAATCATATTGATAGAATGGATATTGTTCTGGATCCGAAAACATTAAATATAATAAACATAATCGTATGAAAAAATAAATAAAAAGAAAAACTTCAATCGAATGTAAAAGACGATATTGTTTAGTGCCATAATCATTGACAATATGTTTCATAGCCATATATAAAAAGGATTTAAGTTTGAACAACATTTTTTTGTTTGTTTGTTCCGGCTTTGTTTTTTTTTATTGCAAATTATCACTGGTTAACGATTAGATTCCTAATGAAAGCAAAATTACAAATTTTCTCAATAATTATATTGTTTATCGTGAAAAAAATAATCATTATGCATGCATGATAATTATTGTTCAACTTTTATTATTATCGATTTTTATTTTTAAAATTTAAAAAAAAACTGATTAACAATTTATCAAACCATAAATTACAGTATATAGAGTTATAAAGAAAAGAAAAACTTTTCATTCCCAAAAATTTAATCGATTACGATCATCATTATAATTATCATTATAGGAAAATGCTTCATCGATTAATGATCAATTTTGTTTTGAAAAATAAATTTTTTTTTTTTCATTCACTTACGCATTACACATTGCACATTGCGCATGAGTTATCAAAGCAACAGCGAAAATAACTTTTTTTTTAAAAAAATAGCATATATGCGTCGCTGGTAGCGAACGTGTTAAAATTTAAAAAGGGGAAAAACTTTTTCGTTAAACTCCTCCCCCATCATTTTTTTTCAATCGATTTTTATAGAAAAAAGGAAAAAAATATATTTCATCGATTGTTGGAACCAAAAAAAAGAAGAAAAAAATTTTTTTTTTTTGAATATCAAAATTGTCATTAAGTAAAACAAAAGGTCAATCAATTTTGCGGTTTGTAGCGTTTTACTACTCAGAAGTTTTGGTTTCCATTTTTCATGGTTAACAGTGTGTCTGTGTGAAACATAGTGTAATCATTTGATTACTTTGTTGCTTATCATAAAGATCAGCGAACAAACTAAAAAAAACAAAAATGTTATTACAAATCAAAACATTTATATATAGTGCAATGAAACATATTGTAGAAGAATATGGAACCAAAAAACATAATCTATTACATTATTTAGAATATTGTTGTTATATTAATTGGTTAATTCGTGCCGTATTTCTTTGGTTAATGTATATGGATCCAGAAACATTTCCATTTTTTGAATCGGATTATGTTGCTGCATTTTTTTGGAATTATCGTCATATTTTAAATAAATTTTATATTATTATTGGTACAATGTTAGCATTGATTGCAATGTTAGGTATACGAACATTTTATTTTCATCCAATTGATACGGCTAGTTTTCAAATATTATATGATTGTATTGTTTATAATACTGATCAATATTATCAAAGTATAGATACTGATGATAATATTCAAAGAAAAAAATCCCAACGTTTTCAACAATATCGTCACCTTTTTGATCACGATCATCGTTTTTTATCAATAATAATAAATCCATTAATAAATTTATTCATTTCGATTCGTGTTTGGCTAGATTCATGGCTAGAATTGGATCAAGTTGTTCAAGAATTATTTGAAAAACAAAATCATATGCGTATGTTTTTATATGCAACCATTAAAGGACGTTCACGTTGTTTATTATTGGTTATNTGTTGAAGAATATGGAACCAGTCAACATAATCTATTACATTATTTAGAATATTGTTGCTATATTAATTGGTTAATTCGTGCCCTATTTCTTTGGTTAATGTATATGGATCCAGAAACATTTCCCTTCTTTGAATCAGATTATGTTGCTGCATTTTTTTGGAATTATCGTCATATTTTAAATAAATTTTATATTATTATTGGTACAATGTTAGCATTGATTGCAATGTTAGGTATACGAACATTTTATTTTCATCCAGTTGATACGGCTAGTTTTCAAGTATTATATGATTGTATTGTTTATAATACTGATCAATATTATCAAAGTATAGATACTGATGATAATATTCAAAGAAAAAAATCCCAACGTTTTCAACAATATCGTCACCTTTTTGATCACGATCATCGTTTTTTATCAATAATAATAAATCCATTAATAAATTTATTCATTTCGATTCGTGTTTGGCTAGATTCATGGCTAGAATTGGATCAAGTTGTTCAAGAATTATTTGAAAAACAAAATCATATGCGTATGTTTTTATATGCAACCATTAAAGGACGTTCACGTTGTTTATTATTGGTTATGATTGCTGATTTATTAACCTATGGTTTTCATATTTTCTTAGGTAAATGTTATTTTGTTTTCAAAATCATTTTGTTTTTTCAATTAATTATTTTTTGTACAATTCAAAACAGCAATTGCCTCTATACCATGTGCAATAATAATATTACCTGTAATATTTCAATATAATATGGTACAAAATTCATGGATATTCAAATTTACATTTATTATTGAAGTATTATTATTCATACATAATACATTATTATTATTTCAATGTGCAATGTTATTAAGTTTTACAATGCTTATATCATATCAAGCATTTCATAGTGAATTATCTGAATTGAATCGTAGTTTTCTAGAAATTACCGAAAATTCACGAAAAGGAATCAAACAAATTGGTGCAAAAGAAATATCTCGACTTAAATTTATCTATCAACGACATAATATATTATCATATTACATAATTTATCCGGATAAAGATGCATGGAGCCAGGCATTGTATTACTATGCATTATTATCCATACCAATCAATGTATCATTATTATGTATTTTAATTATTGAACAATTAACACCACAAATACGGATGATGTTAATTTTGGTTACAATTGTACATGCATTAACCGGTTTAATACCATTTCTTAATACAGCAAATGTATCGAATAATTTTCATCAAATTAAAGATTATATTTTACCATTACAATTTCAGCTAAAACGTCGTCAACATTTACGTTTAAAATTAAAATATGATGATCTTTATGGTCGATTAATGCATGGAAAGAAAATATCCTTTACATTTGGTTATCTTGGTGATTTAACATTTCGTGGCTTGTTTGAAGCATTTCTTAGCTATATTGTTGCATTCTTTTTAATTCTTGGTTTCTATTTGGATGAACGACAAAATAAACAATCAGCATTAGAATAATAATATCAGTTTTTTCCATTAACACTTTTTTCACATTTATATTGTTTTTTCACTGAATTACTCGCATAATAATAATAATAATAATTAACCCTTTTCAAACTTTGAAACTATAAAAAATTATTTTAAAAAATTTTCAAAACTGTGTGCATATGCGCTTACCAAAATTTCAAAAATTTCAATTGAAGGAGGGAAGAAAGTTTTTGTCATACTCCTTCCCCACATTCGATGATCGATTTGTTTTTTTTTTGTTTTTTTTGTTCAAATGATCGCTATTGATTAATGATCAAAAAATTTTTCAAAAATACAAAAAAAAACGATAAAATATTTATATATTTTTCTCAAAATATCAGTTATAAATGAGGAAACTTTTCTTCTTTTCTTTTTTGAAAAATTACTAAAAATCATGCAAATATATTTTCCATGGAAAATTTAAATTTATAACATTTAAAATTTGTAAATCATTAAAAAAAATATTTAAAAAAATTGATCATTTTGGTTTTGGATAACGTTCAGTTTTTTTGTTGTAATTTTCAAATTAAAAAAGAAGAAGAGAAATTACAAAAATGTTGTTTTACTTTAAACAATTTAATTATTGTACAATGAAATATATTTGCGAACAATATGGAACAAGACGTTATAAACTTTTACATCGTTTTGAATTTTTCTGTTATATTCATGTATTTATTCGTTTATCAATAATATTTTTAATGTATTTAGATCCAGAAACATTTCCATTCATGAAATATGATTATGCATCTGAATATTTTTGGCATTATCGTCATATTATAAATAAATTTTTAGTTATTATTGCAATAATGTTAACATTGATCGGTATGTTAGGTTTGAAAACATTTTTCTTTCATCATGTAGATACGGCAAGTTATCAAATCTTGTATGATTGTATTGTTTATAATACTGATCAATATTGGAAAAGTTTGGATACCGATGAAAA